CCCCCGCGACCCGACCTCAGATAAGCGGGAGATAATGGATGGATTGATGGATGTTTTCATTATTACTTTATTTAACTTGACACATCACATCTTTAAATTCTCATCCTTGCATTAGAATATAGACCAGTTAATACTGATGGTATCTCATGCTGCGTCATATGTTTTAAAATTACTACACACTGAATATTGAACTGAAGCTTGACATAAAAAAATTAAATCGCAAATCAAATCATAATCGCAATTTCTGTCAGAAAAATCGCGATTCGATATTTCCCCCAAATCGTGCAGCCCTAGTAGGTACTAACTACTGCATACCAGGAACACCCCATCACACGTGTCTAGCCATCACAATTTGGCCCTTGTCAAAGTTGCTCAGATCAGTATGCTTGTCCATTTTTCCTGCTTCCAACCCATCAACTGTTCACTTGCATAATATATAATGGCACCCCTGACAGGTGCCATTGTAACAAAATAATGTTATTCATTTCACATTGTCAGTTTTCATGTTAAGTCTCAAGATCTACCACAAACACGACAAGTGAACATCTACTTGAAGTGTCAGAGATATAAAAAATGCAGAAGTCAGAGATAGAGAGAGAGAAAAGCCTTACTGAACGTTTTGCAGATGTCAGACACGGCTTTGAAAATGCGGTCGGAAAAGTTGACCTTGACCTTCATGTGCTTCATGTTCGGTAACTGCAGGCGTAGCAGCTTATGCTGAGGTGTGAAGAGCAAGCGTGCATCCGCCTGGATTCCATATTTGTCCAAGGTCCAGTGGGTCTTCAACAACCACATTTTCTTCTTCTCCCACCACAGAGCATGGTCCGACCAGTCCTTCTTTACATCTGTATAGGTAGTAAGACAGATTACAGTACTAAACATGTTTAAACAACATTACCATAAACAGAAAGGGGGCTGTAAGATCGACAGCACAGACAGCCCAGTTACCTGTTCCACCCATTTTATCTGTACTCCTTGCACAATGGCCAATTTCTAAAAGTATTCTATGGATCAACAGGAAATCCAATAAATGTGTTTTTAGATGAAGGCTGTTAGTCCTAGCTAGGACATGTAACTCTGAATATAAACCTATTATTACACATTCCACTTACATGCTAATTTTGTAGAATCTTTCCCCACCAATTACATGGTTGCTTTTATTTCTTTGTGCATTTCTTAAATGTCCATGTCTTAAAGTGTCATCATTCATATTTTTGTCTATTTCATTTACTCTATTAGCAACCTATTCCATGTCATAACAGTAATGACTATAATACACTAATGGTATAGATGGTGTCCTGGATGGACCACTTTTTTTTTATTATTATTTTGTGTGCTTGATGTACTAAATTATGCACACAATTTAGCTTAACCCTTTCAACCATGTTATTTTTTGAGTTTTTTCCCCATCCCTTTGATTTTTGGTTTATTACATGGTAGGCACACATATTAGCCACATATGCTGTATGTTTTTGTTTCCAGGAAATTCTGGACTACTCAGATATGTCAGTTTGATGTGTATATACTGACATTGTCTTGATTTCATCCTTTTTGAGGAGAAACGACTTGCGCCTATTGAAATTTCTCATTTTTTATAATCATCTCATACAAAAATTTGAAGGCACTACAAATATAAGCTTATAAAAGTTGAGATTAGTGTCTATATGATGTGGGAATGCAGGGGTTTCAGTGAGTACCAGTCTGTGGCTTAGTATTGTGAAGGAATACATGATTAGTGTCAGGCGGAAATGAATATCTTTGATTTTGCATCCATTTGGTAACTTGTTGAAATACAGCAATACATGGTTTTATATTTTTTAATTACTTTATAACATCTGGAAGAAATTGAAATAGAAAACCATTGCTTAGTTTACAATCCACTGGATACAGTCATAGGACAGTTGTAGAGTCTAATGCTGAATATTTATTGCTATTGTTTTTCCTCCTACATATATTTGACTGGTAAGGTGAAATTTGAGAATAAAACTTTTAGCCGCCATTTTAGCCTCAAAACAACAAACGTTTTGAGGCTAAAAGCGTTTACATGTAGGAGCTGTTCCAGTAACACAATGGGCATGTTCTATTTCAACTGTTTTGATGGAGGTGACATCAAAAATAGATATACAAACTTTTGTGAATATTTTTTTTCTCCCCCCCAGAAGGGTAGTACGTGGATCATTGCAGAAGTGAATATGCAGTTTGTTTTCTGTCTAATGTGAATAATACTGATGTTTTATGAATTATTAGGGGTGCGTTTTGGTGGGAAACGTTTCAAATATATGCTTAATTGCGCACAGAATTACTCTGGAATGTTGCACTTTAAAGAGAGGAATTTCATAAACATTTTACTACCCAAAGACCGAAACCCAGTTCTCTCAATTCCAACAATATGAGATTCACGTTATACCTATCCAAAGTTACAATCCTGAGATTAATGGGTGTGAAAATCAACGTAGTTTGTGTTTGTTTGATTCTAAGGGTTAATGTGACCATGAAAAAATTCGAAATCAAGCCCACTAAATTCCTAAAATGTGCACACAACTTTTTTCGTGCTCTTAATCTGCTGCTTCAAGCTCACAAATTAAGTTATGCTCTGGTTTCTGTGAGATCTCACTTAAAATGTGCCCACAAAGCCAGAAGCTGGAATGAAGTGCCCAAATACTATTGGTTTACTGCATTAATTTACTCTAATCTTTGTCATAATGTATAATGCATGAATAACATGTCGCCCATTAAAAAAAATTATAATAATCCTCTGCCTGTGGTCTCTCCAGGGCTCCATAGGTATAACTAAATAACGACCGCATAATGTCATAGACTCCTCTGATTTTCTTGAGATTAAATATTACGGCTACCTACATTGTTTTTAACTGTAGACACAAAAGCTCCAGTTAGCTGGCTAAAACTGCTCCTCTACCACAGTTGGATCTGTGTGTGCATGTAAATTTTTATATACACATACATACATTGATATATATGTATATATGTATATATGAGCATGTGAGCGGAGCGGAGCGGAGCGTGAGCGAGGAGCGGAGCGGGCGGAATTTGGTCAGAGCGCGGAG